TTTTTTTTTTGAGACCAATCAAATACCGAAGTAAAGCAAAGCCAAACCAATCCTGTTTCACTTTCGACACTCGATAGTAAAATCTTTGTTTTCATTTGGAAATAAGTAGGATTGTAAAAACATGCATGTTTAAAAGGGTTTACTCGTCACTGGCAGCAAAACCTATCACGATTGAGACTATGTAGCGACTCTTTACTCGCAGCTCACGAGCATATAACGGCAAGGGTGACAAAACTTTTTTAAAGGATTAGCTGTCGTATGATAATTTTTTTTTTCTCACACACTGTGTAATAAATCATATTTTGATCTGTGGATCACAAGAAGATACCGAAATGGACCTCATAGGCGAGCTGCAATTGCAAAAATTACAGAACAAGAAGCCTGAAAAATTTAGGCATCGACGGGATTTGGAACCGCGCCTCCCAGATACTAGGTAGGTGCTACTGCTAACTGAGCGGCGAAGCCTCATGTTGGAAGCGAGGCAATTTTTTCATCTGACACAGTTCGACGAGCTTACATACCTTAATCTCGCCGAATGTCAATCACAACTCTTAGATTTCAAGCTCTCTTACAGCATTTGCGTTATTATAGGATATTTTACCAACTGTGCTTGAACTATCTTTAAGGTTTGGAACGACAAGAAACCCTGAACAAAACAGAGTTCAAGTTGGACGAGGAAGAATTGAACAGAATTACAGAAAACCAGGTCAAGTTGTTCTCAGCCGAAGAACACAATATCCAAGTGGATTCCTTAAACTCCGGGAACCACTGAGCCGCGAATGGGGCCAGTATTTCCGGCACGAACAAACAAGATTTGACGAAGAAGAAATGAGGACAAAGATGAGCCTCAGCCTCGACAACCATAGATTTTTTATATGAACTTTTCGACCTGAATCTGTGGATCCCTTCCTGGGATCCGACTGAACTTTTGCCACTGTTCATTCTCGTGACAAGAGGGATGCCATCCGCCATGTCTCTCATGTACTTAAGGTTACACTTAGTTATGCGTGTTTCGTTGGAATTCTATTAGTGAGGACACTTTGGGATTCCTATCATACGGAAAATGATTTTTCCCAGTGGTCGACCATTGACTTTTTCCGCCATCTTGGAAATAACGAAGAAAACCTCCTTGAAGCATCGCTCTGACGAAGGGCTAACGCTCGAAACGTCAGCTTTGAAACTCTTTACGGTGTCCAATTTATATTATCAACTCAGTTGATAAAACCAAAATTATCTTGTTACTCCCACTAAGAGACCAAGAAGCAATAACCATACCTAGATTCGGCACTAGATTGTTAAAGGACTCTTTAGCATATAGAGGTTCGGTGCTATGGAACTATGTTAACCATCATGTCAAAAATGTAGGTAGTTTCGCCCTTAAGAATCCTAGGAGGCTACTCAGGAGAAATAATCATTTCACAAGCTTTACTTTTACTAGTTTGTCAGGCTCGACGGCTAGGAATAGATTGACTGATTACAAGTATTTTTAAGTTGAGAGGAAATTTGAATGTTTTACTGTATTATAGTTTCTTATTTAGTTTGAAATGTGTCTTAGTATAATCAGTAGTTGGCTAGATACTATTCTGTTACTGAAGTACACGACCCCACAAGCTTTTTAGCTTTAATTCTTATCGTGTATAAATAAAGATTCTATTCTATTCTATTTTACCGACGCAACACCCCGGTTTCTATAGAAACTCACCCCCTTTATTCCCTGAAAAATTGCTAATGAATATTAAGTCGCTTGCTGTTCACATTTGAATGTGTGAACATACCTTTTTCAGCAACATTTAAGAATGGACAATAAATATAATGGTAATTAAACAGAGTGGAGTGCAATTTGGGTGATTTCAAAATCGAACGAGCACGCAGCGCTAGTTTGTACAGGTAATCACATGATTTCGAGTGCAATTTGGAATAAATATGCACGAGTAAATTTTTTCAAAGACTAACAAAATTGCATGAGCCCGTAGGGCGAGTGCACTTTGTGGGTACGAATCGTACTTAGACAAGAAGACTCGAGTGGCATGAAAGTTCCCTGCATGCAAAAATATCGCGCCCCACATTTTCCAATAATAGTGAACTGCAGTTTAAGGGTTGTATGGCATGAATTGTCCACCATTTTAATTGAGTATTACAGCAATATAGGGTCCCTTAAAGAAAGTGGCACTGTAGTTTAGGTCTTGATCATCGTCAACAACAAACTGACCTGTGTAATAATTTGGATATATCAACAAAGTTGAAATGGTAAATTGGCCACTGTAACGATTACAAAAGCTGACGTTTCGAGCGTTAGCCCTTCGTCGGAGCGAAGAGGAATTGTGGGTTGTGCGTGCTTTCAAAGGTGGAAAATGGAGCTACGTTATTGGTCGAAAATTCAAAATTCCAATTACCCCTGTTTTGTCTGGTGAGTTCATTCATCTTTCGTCAAAAATAAGCCAGGACTTTTCAAACTTTGGCTTCTCAGGCTTATGACAGCCACTTTCATAACAAATTCTTCTTGCAGAACAGATGACTCTAAAAACACTATTGTCGTGAATGATCTTCGGACAAAAACTGTCAGTCGTAAAAAAACTATTTGACAAATACATCTTTTATGAAACACATTCAATGCAATCGAAATTCATTTTCAAAGGAGAAAACCTATCTATACTTTTTAAATGCTGATTTGAGATTCCTACTTGTCACGACGAGGCTAGCTTTCCATATCGTCAAGCTATGTAATTCCTTGGAGTTGAACTGGAGAGACTCAATAATTGTTTTTTCAACTTTTCAAGCAGTAAACTGAAATAATTCCGGTTTTTCCAAAATTTTTCCAGTTACAAACTTACTGCTAATTTGAACAGGAAACGACAAGCTTGGTAAATCGTAACTTAACTCAAGAAACAACAAAATAATGATTGTCATAAACAATCGAAGTGAGGCCGAGACAGTTTTAAATTCTTTGTTGTCTGTGAATTTTCTTTGATTGGTAAAGAACGAGAATTTTAACTTGGTACAGCTTTGGTTGTTCTCGACAAACTGCTCGGCTTGCTGTGTTCCATAAGAAAGTCTAAGTCTGTTCTCTCAACTTTTGGCCATTTTTCGAGGTACAAACATAGAGCAAAATTCATTGTTTGGGCTTAGATGAAAGAGGCTTGCAAAAAAGCTAGAATTGCTTCCGTAAACAGTCTCGTAGAACACTTCAGCTCAGTTAATGAAAAGTTAACAGAATTGCACGATATTTTTCGTTTGAAAGATTAAAATTTGGACCTGCACGTATTTTTTTCCTTTAAAAAAAAATCTAGTACGAGGATCTGTTTATTACGCTTCTGGCAGAAAATTTACATAGGAAACCAGTTTGTATTTTTTGTCGAAGATGTCAGGGGAACTGCTGTGCAAATTTGTCCGAATTTTCCCGCCAAAAGTATTAACATATATACGAACGAAATTTTCTTCAAATATTTGTAATCCCTTAATTGCTATTGCATTGACTAATTAAACCATGATGAACGATAATAAAAGAATTATTCGACAAAATATTTTATAATTCATTGACTGCAAGATTCAAATACAAAGTGAGCGACAAATATTTAAATTATTAGACAACTGAAATGAATAATACTTTAAATAAATGAATCAAAAGTTGGAAAAAAAATACAGCACACGCGTATTTTGAGCGCCCGTATTTTTCTAAGTTTTTCGGCGGGAGAGCTTTAGATAATTATTTTTAAAAAGGGTGCAGCGCATGCATATTTTTAGCACTCCTATTGCTTTTAAAGTTTCTCGGCTGAAAAAGCTGACATATTCAAAGATGGTTTGGAGATGACATGAGCTCAAAAAAATCCAAAACTATGCTAGATTATCACAAGAATCTCAGAAATAATAATTCACTCTTATACAGGTAAGGTAAAGTTGTTTACGAGCCAGTGGCCCATCAGCTGCTTAACTCCGGTTTCTGTAACATGAAGCGACTAGGAGTATTTCTACTCCCCCTGTATGGGATGCTAGTCCATTGCCGGTACCCATTTATACACCTGGGTGAAGAGAGGCACTGTGAGTGTAAAGTGTCTTGCCTAAGAACACAACACAATGTCACCTGCCGCGCTCGAATCCGAACCACTCGATCCAGAGCCGAGTGCACCAACCATGAGGCCACCGCGCCTCCTATACAGAGAGGTATTAATTTTACCAGACATCGCGATTTGATTTAATGTTTTCCTTTAAGAACTTAAAGAATAAAATGTTATCCTTGCTTTGAAATAAAGGCGAACGTGCAGAGTTAACGCCTCTACTTTCGTATGAAAAAATGAAAGACATATTTGAAATGTCAATCGTTTTCATCATCAAGGTTTTTACATGAAATGAAATTGGGTACTTGATAACAACTATACACTGATTATACGATTATGACCGCTCAAATTTTAAACTTCCTCCGTATCGAAACTTTCCTATATTGATTCGTAAAAGCCAGAGAATTCATATTACTAATAGCAAGCTTGGTTTTTATTTTTTGCTCTTTCGTACGAAAGCTTCCTTCTCTCTGCCGGTTTGCCTCATCAGTAATTTCAGCCGCTTGATGCTTGAAACACATAGTTCTAACTTCCTCCAAATAGGCTGGTATTGGAGCATTTTGTTTCAGGAAAATTTTTTTTTCCGTTTGATTTCCATCCATTCCTTTGTCCATTTGCTATTTTGATTTCCTTACAGGCACTTGTCAATTTTTGATTTTGATTTCAGCCCAGGTGTAACTTTACTTGATAACTGAAGGACCTTTGAATTTGAGTAGAATTCTGCTAAGTAAAGAAATAAAACAGTTAGATTAATAATGGAAATTGAACTGAGTGAAGCGCAACTTGGTCCCAATTTCAGTATGCGTAATCTGGCAAAGTCAAACGCGTCCGCAACACGAGGTTGATTTGAAAGCACAAGTACGATTTCAGACCAAAATTGCGCGATATGGAGTTCAATTGCGACCGAATTCAGTCGCTTAGATATAGGATCTTTTAGTCTATACAAATGTTTTGTTGATTCAGTGGTGAGCTCGTTTAGAGAAAGTTGCAAAAGTTGTCTTTCATTTTCCTTCAATTTGATTGTTTTTTTTTGTATTTAGTAAAGCTTCCTCACTGGTCGGGGGAAAAGACGAGACTGAGAGCAACAAAATCGTACGATTCGTGAATGAATCACACCAATGGGAGCCAGTGATAGCAAAATGGATGTAAGAAATATAGAAACCTTGGTGATCCATCCCCATGACACTTCAACAGATATGAAGAATGCGTTCATTCAAGCTACGAGCAAGAAAAAAGGACTAGTGTAAAACATTTATAGTCGAAATGATGGCATACAGTCCTTCCTATTCACAAACGTTTCGTACTCAGTCGATTCGCAGCTAAATTTAAACGACTCGTACCCACTTTGTGTCGGCTCGCGCCGACCCGCGGATCGATTCTTTCGAAATACCTCACGTGAGGGTGTGAACAGATGTCGATTGCTGCCTACGACAAGTTATTTTAAGCGTATATGACACAAATTTCTTTAGCGTATTTTCCTTCCTTGGTATATGTAATAAACAAATAATGATTTTGATGACCGTGACTGTTTACGGTCGAAATACGGCCCAATTTCCCTATGGAAGTGTCCCGGGAAACTGGGGACGAGAATTGTGTTTGATAACATTGCTGTCCTGAAGCCGTCTTGTCATTTCCTTTGCCCAAAAGTACCGCCTGTTTTCGACCCGCTCTGTTTAATCTCGCGTTTCCCTTCACTTTCAGCCATCCTGATTTGTTTAACACGATGACGTCACAGACATAAACCATGTGATATTTTGGCCGCGCAGTCTCTGGGACAATTTCGACTTGAAAGTAGCGCGTACTTTGAACGAAAAAAAGGGGTTTTAAAACATTTTCAAGATCTATAAACTTTATAAACCTTTATCTAACATTGCTAACGACGAAAATTAGCGGGAAGAAAGTTGCGTTATATACACTTTAACAGCCGAGCGAGTCAGATACAAGCGAAGTCCTGTTTTATATCTTGTCACTTTCGTAACGGTGACAACTAAATTATCACCTAGTGCAAGATCAGTGCGACGAACGTAATCAACAAGGAAGACATGCTTTATTAGTATGGGTACCAAACGATTAAACTGACTGGATACGAGGGGTCTTTGCTGAGTACGAAACATCCATGGGTACGACACGACTGGCGAGTGAAATAACTTCGTAAAGAGGTTCAATATTTGCTGAAATATTTTGATGGTACAGTAACAAATCCTGAAAACAGCTTTGAGTTTGAACAAATCCTTACTAACCTCTTAGGAAGATTTGTTTTATGATCACTGCTAAGTAAGCAATTATATATGTGATAAAGAACATTTGAACGTGAGGACTGAAAATCCATCTCTTGAGCTAAAATAATTTTAGCATCATCAATGATCCAGTGCTATTTTGGGCATTTTACGATTTAAACACAAGCGTTCTTCATTATCTCTGTTTTGACCACATCAACCTGAAGAGGTCACTAATGATTAGCTTAGGTTTTTACTCACCGACTACAGTGAAACGTTGCGCAATCCCCAGCCATGCTCGCGCTCGTCAAGAATCATAACTCTGTTGGAGAAGAGATTTGATTCACCACCAAGATACAGATATAAATTCTCCACACTATCTACCATGCATTTCTAATACTTATAGCTTTAAGGAGGGGGTTATGGGGATTTTCAGTTTTACGGTTTTGGCAATCTTTTAGATCGGTTTTTCAGTTTTTTTGCCAAAAAAAACTTCGGTTGTTCGGTTTTGGTGTTCATTGCAGCTAGAGGATCTTTTGTTTTTCCTCAAAAACAC